TAGACCACTTGGCATGGAATGACTCTCAATTGTTGAACTTTCCCAATTTTTATTTGACTATGGTGGGTGGGAAAATCAGATGAGTTACAGCATTGAAATAATAGTGGGTGCACATGCAAAATTTGAATATAAAATAAAAATTACATGCATATATCACATTGTGTTTCTAAAGGCCATCATTCAGTACAGTTGGACTTATAACTGCATTGTTTGAAATGTGACCATTAAGTTATGTTGGTCCTTTGAGTCTTTGACCATGCAAGTAGGGATTTATGATGTATAATAATTGTGTTTTTATTACTATTCTATAATTTAGTGCCCTTCTACAATATTTTTCTCACTATTAGTGAGAAACACCAATTCAGTATATTGATTTTATGTCTCCATACACTGACCAAATGATCGCATTATTGAAGTGTAGGTAGTAGGTACTTGTAATTATTTTTGCCTTTCAGACTCCTTCAAGAGCTTTAGCATAAAAACTTCTTCAAGAAATTGTCCCAGACTATGTGAACATCATCTTGCTACTCCATTCTCTAGTGAATCTGAAGACTCTGGATCAAGAGTCTTCTGATATTGGATATGATATATGATTTCACCAATATGCCTGAAACCAGTTGTGAAAGCAAATTTAAAGAAGAAAATGAATCAATCATGATTGAAATTTTAAGAATGGAAGGTGGAAACCTGGCCTCTCAACCTGGATTCTGGCTTCTCAACTTGAACCCTGGCCTCTCAACCTAGACCCTGGCCTCTCAACCTGGACCTTGGCCTCTTAATCTTGACCCTGGTTGGCCTCTCAGTCTGGACCCTGGTCTCTCAACCTGGACCCAAGCAGCCTCTCAAGCTAGGCCCTGGCCTCTCAATCTCGACCCTGGCCTCTCAACCTGGACCCTTGCTTCTCAACCTGGACTTTGATCTCTCAGCCTCCACCCTAGCCTCTCAAAATGGATCCCCAGCCAATCAGCCTGGACCCTGGTCTCTTAACTTAGACCCTGGCCTCTCAATCTAGACCCTGGACCCTTGCTTTTCAACCTGGACTTTGGTCTTACAGCCTCCACCCTAGCCTCTCAAAATGGACCCCGGGCTTTCAGCCTGGACCCTGGCCTCTCAACCTGGACTCGGGCCTCTCAGCCTTAACCCTGGCCTCTCAACCTGGAACCTGGCCTCTCCGCCTAGAGACTGGCCTCACAACCTTGGCCCTGGCGTCTTTGGACCCACAACCTTGATGTTTTCCCATCAATGATGTTGGAAAAACACAAAATTTCTTTGAAATTTTAATCTCGAATAAGGCATTTTTCCTAAAATACGGTACTAGAGTTTCTTGTAAGTTTCTTGACCAGACTTCTTATTGTTGCTAGCAAAAGTGATGTCTAAAATGATAATTAACTATGCCAGCTATATATTATCATCCATATTTTGCGCTCAAAAGACTAAACGGATCATACCATTGTGTTTAATGTTGGGGTCTCGTAAGACCAAGTGGACTGAAATGTTGCCTTACATTTTTTCAATATACAATTTTCAATGTTTCATACTCATCTATGCACTACTTAGTGACCATAATCACTAGAAATTATAAGGAAAAAAGTTGTGTGCTTTAAAAAAATGTGGTTGTTAAAGAGTTAACAAAGTTTTCTTGTGACAAAAACTCCAATGTGACTGATATTAGAGTCTTACCCAATGGGGTAAGATGGGACCAGCTCACTTTTTTTAATCTGTACAGAAAACTGTGTTGTATGCTGAAAGTCTGAGTTGTAGCTTAGAAGCCCATTGCATAACTACACTTTGTGTTAGGTTTAGGGTTTTTTAGTTATTCATGGTATAGATCCTAAATGCTTGTTAGTGATTTCGGTCTTGTCTTACCCGATCTGACTATATGTACAATTGCTCAAAAGATCTGATTTAATTTCAGTATAAATATTGGCCATGCATAAAGGGTTTCCAAGTTTAATCTAAGTCAGTACCTAATAATTTCATTATATTCTAGCCAATTTTAATGTTTTCTCCGAAAAATGCTTGGCTGATGATATGGAATGATGAAGCCTTCGACACATCACCCTCCTACGCTCGTCGTGTTGTGCGTGTAGCTGATGTGCTCTGTGATTATAAACGAATAGAGTGCGTGACATTGCTTGCTTTTTATTTGAAATGTTGTGCAATAATTGGCTCTGAATGCATGGCTTGTGTATTGCGCTTGAAGTGACGCTACGAGTGAACGAGTCTCTGTTTGGCTTGGTAAGCTCCTGCGTGCAGGCCGGGCGTGTGCTAGGGACGGAACGAGAGCGCAGACTTGACAGGTCTCGGACAAATATACGGCCGGACCCGCGGCCGGTCTCGCGGCCGAAAGGTTTTATTAGTGTTTTTATGAGTTTTTCTAGTTTTTTTTTGTTTTTTTAATGGAACCTGTTCCTAACTGGACCTAACCTGCGAGGTTTTCGTTGATTGGCTAGGTTTTTTCTATGTTTTCAGTCCGGCAGCCGCGAGACCGGCCGCGGGTCCGGCCGTAAATTTGTCCGAGACGTAGACTTGACCGCCTCAGGTCCATTACCATTACACTGAGCACGTCTTACCGGGGATATCAATGTGTTCTGTTGTACAGGGTGTTTCAGAATTAAGTAAACCTTTTAATTTGTTAATAAATAAAAAACTAAGAACGTTATGAAGTTGAAACTTGTTTTATTTAAAAGAAGAACATTTTCATGGTAATATTGTATCATAGTTACGTCATAAAAACTAGGATACAATATTACCATAAAAATGTTCTTCTTTTAAATAAAACAAGTTTCAACTTCATAACGTTCATAGTTTTTTATTTATTAACAAATTGAAAGGGTTACTTAATTCTGAAACACCCTGTATATGGGAGACTGGGGAAAACTGAATGTGAGCCGAAAGAAAGTTAATGGAAATTGGCAACGCAAGCGAGCGTTTGATTGCGATTGCGAGCGTTAGATAGTATAATGTTGGATGACTGTATGTGGAAAAGCCAGGCGAATGCAAAGGCAAAGCTACTTACGATACAGATCATATATACCTGGTATGTCATAGTGAGCTTTAAGAGTTGTTTTGCCTGTGAAGTTCAAATTCTACACCAAGATTATTCATTAGTTGATATAGAAACATAGGCGCTGCTCCGACAAATTGCAGTAAATGTTATGAAAATTTTAGGACTTCATCTTTTCAAAACTCGTCGCATTTGCAGGCCCGCAAGTTACTATTTAGTCACTCTCATCTCATGTGCAACTTCACATCTATTTCCTTTGATGTTGCTTCACTTGTTCCTTGTGTCCTGTTTTAGTTTGATAAAATTAATTTAAGTTGTACAGACATTCGTTTTTGCTTTCTCATTATTAATAATGCGTATACGTTATTGTTATAAGCATTATTAGTTATCGAATTGCTATAATGCCGTTATGGTCAGAGAGAAAAAAACTCTGACGAAAGAGAGAAAGTGAAAATACCATCGAAAATACCATGGTCGTCTGGCTGGCTGCTGCAAGCTCGGCGCCTTCTGGCACGAGGGCGATGTTGTTGAACTTCAATGTGCTTTGTAATAGAAGAAAAACCCGAAATCCTGTCCAATATTGATCATTGGATTCATTTTAATGCGCTGTGAGCAAATAATTGATCGCTACATTTGAAATTCAATTTATGATGAAACGCATCCACAAATCTCGTGCCGATACGGCACCTATCAAATCCACGTATTACGGATAAAGCCAAGGGCGTATGAGTCAATAAATTCCTGTGATGAGGTTTCGTTAGCGTTCTGGGTTGGGTTTTTTGTTCCAGAACTTGGCTCGAAATTTGGAGCGCCTGTCTGAACTATTATGATGATTAAAGACGACTTCTACATTAGTAGCCACTTTCTTCGTCGTCTTTCGTATTAAATTCCCATACTGCTGAATTAACGCGTTGCAGGATGTCATTAACTTGTGCTAGGTTCTTCATTTTTATTTAACATACCGCAAACGGTTTCTGCAAACAAATTAACACACAAATGAACAAGCGTAAATTATAATAGAATATTGAAATAATCATGAATAACTCATCATTTCAACAGAAGTACTCTAGAATGAAAGTAGTAATAATATACGTAACAAGTATCCAAAAATAAATAGTTCCTTACCAAAACAGTGAGGGCACCGTGCTGTCGCACCAGTCGCAACCCGCTAACTGTGATACAAATTTCTATGGCTAGAACTTGCCTAATTCTACAAAGGAAAATTTTCAGTAATTTGTACTGAACATGACTCGACATAATCTGCGGCTGCAATGATAAATGACCATTTTACGTACTTCTCTCGACGTGTTTAATTCCATTGCTGCTGTGTCAATGTTAATTTATACATATTTCTGCATGGATGTGAATTGAATTGAAGCTCTGGATTGCAGCTTTAAATATATTTCCAATGTATAATTTATTTAGAGAAGTTACACTCTTATTCAGAGATCAGATAACTTTTGGAAGTCTATAACTATCTTTATTACAATATGTAGTAATAATATGTAATAACAATATAATATGTAACCTCGAGTTCACTTTTCGCACGATACAATTGTTAATGAAGACGTTGTGAACTCGAAGGCCTGTCGCCGCAGTCTCACTGATTCCAAAAGTTTGCTGATGGTAAATACGATGGCAGCCGCGGGATCAATCGATCTGCAGTCAAGATAAATGAAGTTCCATGTCGTGTTTCTTGACGCAGACGTGTCGAACTGGAGAAAGTCTCCTTATATGGGCTGTCAGTTATTTATTCCGCTCGGTTTTATTTCGTTGTAGGTAGTTGTGAATGAAGGTTAGGCAATACGTAAATGTGCGAAATTTACAGTTTCAACACCACCAAGAAGCGAGTGAAAAACACGGTCCATAATCACTTGTGGCGTGTGTGTTGACCAACTTGGATAAAGCAGCAAAGACAATGATTCATACGTCCTTCAAGTCGAAGTGCGAAAATGTCTTTTTTTCAATTGGGGAGCATTTTTCGTAGGTTAATCGTAAATTTAAAACCGTAGCTAATAATTTTTTACTTCTTTATTCCAGTTCTATAGTCGTTTATTTGTTTACACCAGCTATAAAGAATATGAACTCTACATGTCAATGTTTCTGATGCCTAGTTTCTTCTCAGGTCCTCGAATTAAGATGCTTGAGGACATGAACAGACCAGGCTTCTTCAATCAATACTACCAAACCGTCCGCCAATCCATAACTAATGACGTGTTGCAGGAGTTCTCAAAACTCTCCTCCGATGAAGAAAAAGTCCGCTTCTGTTACGAGAAAATACCGGCAGTACACGAAATTGATATACGCAAAATCTATCATGGAAAATCAGAAAGAGATGCGCTCGAGAGGAAAGAAGCAGGAAACAGAGCTTTTGGACGGAAAGAGAACGTAGAGGCGTTGCATTGTTATAGTCAAGCAGTTGTAAAGGCACCCGTGTTATCGGGTAAATATTGGAAATTGATCATTGAGTGCGGAGTCGTGAATGTCTTCTATTAAAATGAAATTAGTGCCTGAAGGAGCTCAGGCCGTCTGTACAAAATATAATTCGTTCGTTAATCCCATATTTTTCAAGTATTTTATTTAATTCGTTTAATGTCTCTTCAATTGTACTTAAGGGTTTGCAAGTTGTTTAAAAACTTTTTTCTGTTTTTTTTTCAAAGTTAATAGTCAATGAACTTTTTTTTCCATATTCATTATGTTTTCGTGAGCTGCGTCATTTATAAAATTTCCTAATTTTTCAATTATTTCGAGAGCTCCTTTATTTTAATGTTTAATTCTGTTGTTACTTGTACCCTTAGAGGAGAACGCCGACCCCCGCAAGATGACGCTCTACCCCATCTGCCTGGCTAACCGCTCCGCTGCGCTCTACCACCTCAAAGACTTCTACTACTGCCTCAAGGATATAGATGAGGCCCTGGAGCATCACTACCCCAAGGTAGGATGCTTGTTCTGCTCAATCTTGATTATGGTTTCAGTGAGAATAACGATTGAGGATTCAGACGCGGTGCTTCAATACATCAGGCGTGTTGTCTACTTACCTTGATGTTAATTATTGCGTCATTAAGTGAATTTTTACCCTGAATAATTAAGAACCACATTATTTAGTGTTGTCTAGAAGTATGGGTAATGTATAATCTCTGTTATTTTTAGACGCTTATAAATTTCGGTATAATCGCATTTGAGAATGAATAATTTAGAAAGTGATGCGCGAAACACGAGTCAACGTTGCATTCTTACCTCTGATTGAGTTCATATTGCGATCTCAACCAACTAAATCTCACTGTTTTGCATAAGAGAGAATAAGTATCTACGTTTACGAGTTTGGATCTGATAAATTTCCCAAGTGTTGAGAGTCTTTCTTAGAAAGCACTTTTATCGCAATTGCGACAGCTCAGATAGCGTGCGCATGGTCAAAACTAACCTCAGATTCGAACAAATAATGACTTGAAAGTAAAATATTCAATTACTTAATTAATGGTACTAAATTCTGAAACCATTTTTTATTAACTCCACTAAAGAAATCTCGCCGTTTTGTCTCATCAATGCTACTCCCTGACACGTCTGCCACACAGGAGCTCAAGTTCAAGTTGTACAAACGCAAGGCTCGCGTCTTGGTGGACCTAAAGCGGCACTTGGAGGCTCGGGACTCATTTCGGCAGGCACTCAAATGGCTCGACTGGGCGAAAATGGATCGTGATAAGAGGATGGAAGTTCAGAAAGACATACAAAAGTGGCTTAGCATATTGGAGAGCGGCAAAGTTAAAAATTGTAAGCTTTATTTATGGTATTTATGTTGGAATGACGAGTTGGTCTGTTTTGAATCAAATGATCATAGGTGGTTGACTAACTAAAATTAGATTTCATAAAATTCTCCCTGGGATGCAAATGGGTCGTTTGCTGACGTAACAATTGTCATGCAGTAACAAATTTATTGTTCGTTTCATGTGCTCTAGATGAATTAAATCCTGCCCTCCTCAATCTCGGAAAAATACTCATTTTAAAACTTTATTCCCAATTTATCACGGAGGCGGAATTCCTTGAAAGGCATTTCAGGTAATATTTTTTCATCGATCCCATTTTCCTTTATCAAATTCTACCCTTTGACACGTTCTCAAACTTCACAGTGCTAGAAAATTGGACTTGTGTTGGGTTTGCAGTGGGAGACTTTCGGGTGAAGCTGTTGCCCACGGTGCCGCCGCTGACCCAGGGCCCACACTCTGTCTTCCCGGCGCTGTCCAGCAAACTCGAGATGCGATACTCGCCCACGCAGGGCCGCTACGTCGTCGCCGCTGAGGACATCGAATTCGGCGACGTCGTCTGCACCGAGAAACCTTACGCCGCGGTCCTGCTGTGGGAGGAGTTCGACACGCACTGCCAGAATTGCTTCATTATGTGAGGAGTTGTCGGTAGCTATACAGTTTAGTGAAGGGATTCATCATGTTAGCCTGTGGATCGTTTGCGAACTCTAGTGATTACCAGTGATCAACTTATGGGATTCAGGTATAATGGTTCATTCAGCAAGTAGTGGTAGAACTTTTGCATTAATCATGGGAAGTGAACAAACGTGTGAGCTGCCAGTGTGAAACTCAGATGCAAATCCAGTAGAGCGGTAAATTTCAAATTTGTCTAATATTTAAATTTGAAGCTGTAAATTGTTCAACTGTGTTTATTATGAGTGTAAAAGAAGAGTTCTATTTTTCAGTACCCGCGCGCCCATACCGTGCACGACGTGCTCGGGCGTCGTGTTCTGTTCGTCGGACTGCCGCGACACGGCTTACTTCCACAAGATCGAGTGCAACATCAACGATCTACTGCATGGCTCAGGCATGTCCATTACCTGCTTCCTCGTCTTCAGGATGTTAACGCAGACTCCCCTCACTTTCTTCATGAAGAACAAGGAGCAGCTTGCGTTGGAGGAAGATCCAGAGGTCAGGGTGCCGTATTGTCAATATTTATGACTTTCGAGAAAGTTACTTAGTTTGACTCAAGCAAGAATATCTTGTGGAAATCCCTCGTCCCTGTACGAGTAATACGAAGAAATTTCACTGGCCCTGTACCACGATTTACGGGATTTTGAACTAACGATGGAGCTGGACGCTGAAACTTTTTTTTATAAAGATTTGGTGAATTTTTGTGCCGATTTTTTTGCCTTCAGTTCTAGATAAATTTACAATTCAAGCAATATAGTGACCTTAATACATGTATAAGGGTTTTTGTATTTATATAAAATAGCAATTCTCTGCAGAGAGCAAGGGCTTCAAGAGACTTCAAATTACTCTGGGGAGGAACAGGTGTTATTTGGATAATTTCATCATTCAAGCATTCATATTTAGAGTTATTAGACTATCTTTTGTTGTTTTATTATTTGGGTGGCTTGATACTTTTTCAGCGGCAGTGTGTAAATTTTAAATTTAAATGTGTAAATTCTTGATCAATACTCAATAACTTAGCATCCCAAAACATTAATAACCATCACATGATTCGCAGGCGATTCTCCGCTGGAAGCCTCGGGTCAAAGCCTGTGATGACAGCAACGCCAAAACCGACACCGCGACCGAGGCGCTCAACGTCTCGAGTTCGCCGGAAGCTCCGCTGTCTCTATCGAATGTCTCGCCCGAACACAAGAACTCCAACGGTAATGCAGGGGAAGACTCTGATAAATAAAATAAAGACAAAGATGAAAACAAAGAATTGAAAGGCGTAAAATTTCACGAATTACCCGAGGAAGAACAAAAACGAATTATCAAGGAGGAGGAACCACAACGAAAGAAGCTCGAAGAGCAACGATTGCTTGCCGAAGAGCAAGAGTATCAAAAGGCTCGTGAACGCATCGAAGAAGCTCGAAGGAAGGGAGCTGAAGAGCAGAGGCTTAAAGAGGAGGTGTTCTGGAGGGTATACCACCTAGTGAGGCACAGCCAAAACAGAACTGTTGAAGATTACTTCTATCGCACCATCATGGCTTGCTTTATGGTCAAGGCTCTCAAGAAGACAAAGTATTTGGATGACTTCAAAGGGACTGGAGTTGGTGAGTTCTGTGATATTTAGGGTAGGCGTTTCTGCCTTAAATTTGAGTGAGATAAGGAAACCTCGGTAGGCATTTTAAACATAGTCAAATAATTATCGATAATAAGCATCTAAATGGTGAAAAGGAAACGCGGGAAGTCACACTCCGAGCAAAAGCCAAACGGATGCTATATTTTAAGAAGTGTGAATGCTTGTTTGAAATTAGAAACGGCTGATCTCGAGGTTTTGCCGAATGTCTCGTTGTGATCAAGATCAGTATTACCTATTGTCTTTTTCCATTATGATTTTACAAAAAAGTTTTTATAATTTTCTTTTGAATAAAAAATACAAGTGTGAACGAAGAAGCTAGTGTAGAAAGAAAGTGTTTTTTCTCAAATGCAAATCTGCTGATTTGATACCGAATGAAAATACCCTAAAAATTTAATTATTGTCAATTTCATTTAGGGTTATTTTGGAGATCGATTGAAATCCTTGCGATATAAGTTGTCAATCCACTGTTGATTTTGTTTGTACATATATTGAGCTACCCTCGCATATTAACTGATATTATTAACTTTCCTTATACTGAGATGTTGCTGCATTTTAATAATGGTTATCTCATTTGTGCCCATGATTGACGCATGCATTTACTCTCATTTCTAGTCAAGATCCTTCAGAACGCTGCAGGTACGTCGGAAAAACTTTTTACGTTGCAATCGCTGCGGATTCACAAGTTTTTGGTAGAGCGTAAAATTGTTAACCCTCTCGCCCTCACTTAAGCCAACCAAGATTATATTTTACGAATTGTAAAAGATTTAAATACTAAAGCGTGGCCCAAGCTAGTGCGATTTGTATGGGTCCACACGTGATTGTGTTCTGTGCATTATAATTGATGTTACAACGTTAATCTGGCTCACTTTCGGATCAGTTTGTGCGCAGCAACGAACAAATGTTGAAGTGGGAGCTAGGAGGTTAACGCTGCTCTAGACTGTCAGATGTCGTAGAGCAATCGTCCTGAATAACGCTTGCTACTGAATAACGCCTTTGTGAATACGATTGCTTTCTTTTAAAATATAGTCGATATTTCCTTGCATCGAGAATACTTTTAGCTTTTAATTATTCTGAATTTCGTGTTTCTATAATTGTTATCAATAATTCTCGCAAAAATGTACATTTAAACAAGTTCAAGACCTATAATAAATTTTTTATTGCTGTATATCATTTACAACTAATCATGAATTTGTTTTTCCAGTATTGTACTCGTTTTTAACGTAACATGATTCCTGTGTCCGGTGTGCTTCGTTATGTTAGCTAACCAGCTTCTGCCAGATCCACCAACCTTATTTCATCATAAAATGTATAAAAAGCCTCAAAACTAAGAGTTATCTGGTTAAAAACAACTGCTGAATGCGTTTGAAAAAAAGTCAAAACTATTCAATTAGGAGCTAACTTTCTCGAATATCGGTGGAACATTTCATGCATTGAAAGAATTCACTCATTCATCAGTGTAAATAATGAGCGCGTTGACTTTGATTTGACGCGACATTTACCTTGGCAGACAACGAGCTGAAGCTGAGCGAGGCAGAGGCGCTATCAGGAGGCCTCGTGCTCAGGTTCCTGCAGATCATGCAGATCAACGCCCACGAGGTGTCCGAGTTCCTCCTCGCCTCCAACAAGTCGCTAGACGGCGCCGAGAATACCAGCCTCGGTGCCGCCGTATACCCCACGCTGGCTTACTTCAACCACTCGTGTAACTCGGCGCAAGTGAGGTGAGAGTAACCACTTTAACCACTCGTGTAACCCTGCGCAAGTGAGGTGAGAGTAACCACTTTAACCACTCGTGTAACTCGGTGCAAGTGAGGTGAGTGCCGCCACTTTAACCACTCGTGTAACCCTGCGCAAGTGAGGTGAGAGTAGCCACTTTAACCACTCNGCAAGTGAGGTGAGTGCCGCCACTTTAACCACTCGTGTAACCCTGCGCAAGTGAGGTGAGAGTAACCACTTTAACCACTCGTGTAACCCTGCGCAAGTGAGGTGAGTGCCGCCACTTCAACCACTCGTGCTGCTCTGCAGATATGATACGTTTTAATCTTTATCACTCAAAACTATTATTTATTAATTCTGAAGTTTCACTCAAAAATCAAATTTAAACTGAAAACTTGGCATCATATCGGCGTTTTCCAAATCGTTCGTGATTTTTAAACCAAAACTAGCATGTATCAATGTGGAAATTGTCTAACTCACGCCATTCCATCTGGAAACTATGGACAATTATATGCATTCCCTGAAGTAAGATCTATGCAAAATCTTCCCAAATAGATCACTGGACGAAAAATTATAAATGACAGGCAGGAATGCATTTGCGGGAATCGCCGCTGAATTAATGTGTATGGATAATAAATTATTATTATTGTTTATGCTCAGATACTTCAGTGGTAACTCGGTGATAACGAGGGCGATCCGTCCAATTGCCAAGGGTGAGCTGGTGCCAGAAAACTACGGTCCCTGCTACTCGACCGAGGGCAGGTCCGACCGCCGGTTGGAGCTCGTCGACAGATATTGGTTCGAGTGTCAGTGTGAGGTGAGATTTGTCTTTTCGCTGAGAGCATGAGACCGCGAAATAAATTAAATTATACTTATCTTAAAAAAATTATACAACAGACACTATGTTTCAGACATTTCTTGTTGCATGAACGATTTAATCTTGAGACAAAAACATTTTAGTTGCATGGTTGTTATTGTACGCCATATATGGAACCATTCAAGTCGTAACGTTAGTGTAGGCGTGCGTGGAGGACTGGCCGACGTTCAAAAAGACGGACCCGACGCGCCTGAAGTTCAAGTGCCACAAGTGCCAGGCGCCGTTGCTGGTGCCAGTTGACGACCAAAACACGCTGTACAAGTGCGTCCGCTGTGGGGACCAAACCAACATCCTCCCCGCTCTCATGAACCTGCAGGTTAGAACCCAGCGGCCGCCGATGCTTTGCGCTTGGAAGTCCCTCGTTTGAGTGAGGTTACAGATTCAAAACCTGCATGAGTATCTTCCCCTCGACAACTTGAGATTAAAACTTGTAGTTTACAATTTGTAACGGATGAAAGTACCTATTCCAAAATCTGTCACTCGAAAAAAGACTTCGAACGAATTGAGAGGAACCATTGCAGGTATCCTGTTATTTTTCCCTTATATACAAAGAAAATGACAAATACACAGAAGCTTTGCATCTTTAACAATAAATCATCAGTTATTATAGTTTATTATGTCAATTAATATAAGTTCTCATTGCCAGTATTTAAATATAACCAAGACACCCAACCAAATTTAAAAAGTCCAGGCTTGAGAAGAAGTTTGTTTCATTCTTGACTCATGGCATTGACGATCGGCTTCACTTGGAAGACAACTCAATTTCAGGGAGAGTTTTATTTTACAGAACTCGGAGAAAATTTTCCAGGCGGCGAAAACCGAGCTTCAGGCGTTCAATTTGGAAAAAGCAGAGGGTCTACTGAAGGAGAACCTGGAACAGCTGAGCTCCGCGCCGCTGTACCCTCCGTTCAAGGAATACCAACGTGCGCTGGAGGCGTATATGAAGTGCCTCACGTACAGCGGCAACTGCAACATCAAGCGGCCTATGGCATCTCTCGAGTAAAAATTTGCCAGAGGAAAAGGAAATTAGACGTGCACCGATCGAAGAGGAACATTTTTGACAAAATTATATAAAAATTTAGTGAGTTATAAAAAAAAGTCAAAATTAATGAGAGGCTAAAGTTGGTTAGTCGAGTAACTGCAGAGCTCAAACTTGAGTGTTGATTCAAGTAAACGATGGCGCAGGCATAGGAAAAGGATTTTGAAGCTATAGTTCTTATTTGAGGGTGAATGAAAATTGTACTGTCGACTTTTTTGTGAAAATAAGTTTTGTTTGTTTAAATTTTTCCGTAGACGTACGATTCAGCTCACTTCTGTCCGGTTAATGCTACACGAAACCTTCCTCTGCTTCTCAATTTTAGTGAGAAATGTGACAAATTGAAACGCGCATTCCGTCGCCTTGATAAGCTTAGTAACAATGTAACCTGGCTCCTAGAACATCGTCTGTATGTTGCCACTCAGGAACGAAATGACGACAGTTATCAAAAGCCTCGTGATATTTGGTGTACGGAACTACGTAACTGGAGCGCCGTTCCCTTACGCTCGTGCCTATAATGTTGGAAGTCTCTATTATCTAATGAAGTTTGAAACGCATTGAAAGTGCATCATATTATGGAATATTCTTGGTAGTGATCTATAAAGCGATACCCTACGGAATGCACCTGTCCTCTCTTCCGTGTCCAGTGACTGCGAATAAGCAGTTAACTTTTTTACGTGGGTCTCATGTATTTATCAAGTGAAATCTTCTTGTTTCGTGAAAATTTCTTATTTAAACTCGTTGACGATTGTAGTTTCTTCTAAGTTTGTACCTTGGCTTTGTTTCTCACGAGACACTTCTCTTAACAATTATTTTTAGTTCCAGGTTTACGTGAACGAAGTCCTATCCTAAGATATGTATGAAAGACCAACCTTCGTTGTCCATGGCATTGTAATTTAACGATAGGCTAAAAAATCTCTATCAAATGAGCGAGTCGCAATTTTTTAAGTATTCTTCGGCTTGCAGCAGCTTTGGCCAGGCTTGGTGTTCCTAAACGAACTCTGGGTACCATGGGGACATTTTAAGGCCGTAGCGAAATACGTGGATTTAGCGACTTAGGTGAATTATTCTGAGAAAATCAACGATGAATTATGAGGAAATGATTGAATATTTATATCCAATATCACTGATTAAATGACATGACCTCGCTACTAAACTATAATTTTTCTTTTAAGTTGGTTTCATTTTTATAATCGTTGTTTCTTTATATTTCGTTGTACAAAATATCTGAGTTGCTTGTTTTCGTAAATCTTTACTTACAGATTTATGACGCTAAATGCGTCAATGCCTGAGATTACCGATTAATGATCTTCTATTGTCAGTTTTTTACGTTCTATTTACGAATCGAACCTCGCAACAAGAGGCCCTGACCACCCACCCTCGATGCCTCCAGTGTAGTACCATGTCTTGTGTTCCCTGTATTATATAATTTTTTGTTAATTTATCCGTTCTTTTTCCTGCGCTTAACTTGCATTGAACAGCATTAATGCTGTGAGATCGTGTGTAAATAAATGCCCTACTCTATAATGAGGTAATAGAGCCCTTCGGTGGCATGTACAATAGATTTATTCTACTTGTAATTATTGCAACGCGAGTTGTTTGGAATTTTAGAAATGCCTAGATTGAGAACAGTTCGGATAAACGCGTTTTTAAGTAAATATTGAATTATGAAGGCTTCAATAAACGACTATCGTATTATATTTTAAGATGTTGCTAACCTGCTACCTTTTCAGTCGTCCAACACGCGGGAGCTGGAATTAATTCGACCAGAATCTTGATGGCGCCTTGCAGTGAAAGCCTTCGTGAGCAATTACGTACTCTAATTGTGCCTATTTTGAGTAGACGTCCATACACAAGGACTTATAAGTCATAACAACTCAATGTATGTTAACTTTGGTTATTGTTCGTGAATCTTCGAAGAGTAGAATAAGGCAGATGTTGTCCACAAGTATTCTCATTAAATTAGTTTCGCCCTCAGCAAACAACGAATTTCGTATAAATTCTTGTCTAACTGAACCCTTTCTGCACCGTTCTGCTCACGAACCCTGGTGAAGGTTCTTGATCGAGAAACTCGAGTCACAATTTAGTCTAATTTCATTATATGAAAGGATTGAGTTCGAAAAATAACGTCATGCGTGTGTTTATAACAAACGTATTAAGAAATTTACTCCGCGAGCTTGTGAACTGTGTCACGCTATCGTGCAAAAATTAAAGGCAAGCCTTAATTTAAGTGCCTTCAAAATCGTATAAGCGTGAATCGCAACAGCTATTGCTGCGATTAGGACATGCGTCGTCTCCTCGCTATGTGCATTATTTCGTGGTCGTGTACATGCATTACGTTTCAAGAGGCCAAAACTAACACAATTTCTTACCGAAAAAGTTCGAATTTTTCCCTTTCGAAAAAATTCTAGGCTTATTATGAACTTTTAGATGTTCGATACATAGAAAAAAGATAAGTCAAGTCGGATAAGATTTAATATGGAAAATCTAATATGAAATACTTACAAAATGAGAGAGGCGTTTGCAACTCTTGGTAGCTCGTTGGGGCGCTTCGCTTCCTAAGATTCGTGGCATAACAATTCATGGAGGCTTTGTATTCGAAACCTGAGATTGAAGCCTGTCTTTTGAGAGATTTAATTGGGCTGTTACAGGTTAATAAAGATTGCTCCGTGCTTGATCGTTATCCTGGATTTCTCTTCTCCTCGTATCGCTTGGGAACGCTGAACGGCTTGAACAAGATGCTTCTAACATCATCTCGAGAGTGATAGTTGTTATCATTAACCTTGAGGAGAACATGCCTTTAGTTGGAGCTCGTCGCTTCCAGTTTTCACTTAAAAGCAAATAACTTGTAAAATTCATTTATGAAATTGAATTAGAAAATAATTTGAAGAGGACGTAGGAGGAAGGTCGGATGCAAAAGGACTACTCGAAATATTATTGAATGACCGCACATTTATTTACAAAGATTAAAAGTAACCTCTTGCATGTAAATAAAGCAAAAATTCTCAATTTTCTTTTTATGATAAAAAATTCTGTGCATGCACTCAATTTATCTTCTTGAAACGCCCACTTTATGGCACAAGGAAATTATATTTTTAAATAATTGTGAAATTAATGATTAGACATGAAATGAACGTGATTGTCACCTCCGTCTAAGCCATTAAAGGATTGCTAATATCAAACACGTCTGCACACCATCATCAATGCCCAGAAGAACGTACCCGCGACGGCTGCGGTATCCACGAAGGAATCGATTACCGCATTGCCACTGACACTAAACACATAAAATTATTTTTATAAATACGTCAAAACGGCAATCTCACTACGTATAATAAGGTGATTACGAAGCGCCACTGGTACCTATCGTTATTATAGTGTCATATGTAAACGCACAAAGTACAGAGAGACCTGACGCCTTATTTAGATAAAAGTATGTATTGATACAGCTTTAAAATGCATTTGTCATTTTAAATCTCGCTGTTATGCTCAAAATCCGAGATTCTGTCGATTAGTGGTTTGGAGTACGCTGGATTAGTGTCCTAGTTTACAATAAAGACCATATTTCATCCACTACATGAGTACATGTAACAGCTGTAGAGGGTGATGAGGAATTCCATAGGTTCCCGGCATTTGAGGAATGGTACTGACTAAAACCCGGACCCGGACCGGTACGCCGGACCCGGACCCGGACCGAGTGAAATCGGGATGCATGCCGGAGGCCAGCATAGCCCAAGACCAGCATATCTTTCATCCTCCTTTCCGTGCGTAAGCCTGCTAAAGGGCAGAGTAGACTAAGGGATTACAAGTTAAAAGCCAAAGGTACAAATCCCCTTCATGGAAATTAACCAGCGAGCTAATGAGAAGTAAGCCACCAATACAATCGCTCTACGCCGTATTGAAAACCGTCCAACAGCTCTATCCCATGCCGTCTAACCTCCTCACGATTTTCGATAAGCAACTCCCTACGCCATACCGCTGTTGATACACAGTCAGCACTCCAGCCCGTCCATTCGTCGCAGCTGTTTTCCCCCGCCATAACTCTACCTCCACGCTTGCCCCGTCTCCCCGCCTTTTTTCACTGACTGCCGGACGGCTTTAGTTTCTGCTCACTTGACTGCATTACGCTATGAAAAGAGGATCTATAGGAGTTGTAAACTAACCTAACCTAACTTAACCTAACCTTAGTCGGATAAGCATCAAAGGTCTGCAAGAAAATCCTCCAGTTAGTCATGCGATAATGGTGGAGAGTCGGGGTAAGTGTGGGGGGAAGAAGATGCTGGGGGATAGTAGGGCAGGGAAACAGTGACGCTGGGTTCATGTCTTGCGGAGTAAGTAAGGTGATGACGCATTACCGTTTGGTACAGTTCACATTTGCGGCAATGCAGTGTGGTCAGCGGACATTTAGGATAACAGCATGTGTAAGAAGTGATGGTATGGGTTATAAAGCATTGAAGAACAACGTATTGACCGTCAACTATGTGGAGTAGCAGCTTGTGTGCTGAAGCAGTGTTAGTTTAAAGTTCGTGTGGTGAGATAGGTCAATTGACTACAGCTGCTTAGGTGCCAGGATGACAATATCTACAGCATTTAGATGGTTGATGTTGGCTCCAGGGCTGATTTGAGCGTTAATTTGCTGGTCTACGGCTGCGCACCCGTGAAATCAGCGATTAAGTTGGCACAGTTGAAGTGGGTCGCCTGCTGAAGACCACCACTGCCCTGGATGTAATGTACCATCATGATTCCTGCCATCCGGAACGTAGCCTTCAACACTTCAAGCCGTCCGTATCTAGGCCGTGGGTCGAACCAGCCCTCGGTCGAATGACCACTTGTCGAAGGACGATAAATTTTGGAACAGAACTATGCTATCTGAAACCTAACCTCAGATGCAGTGAACGTAAAATTACGTGATTTAACGATGCCCGGAAGTCATTTTCGATCCGTGGCCTGGTGGTGCACGGCAGGTGGTGGTCAAGGCCGGAGGAGGACAAAGGCGAGTGCCGAGTGGTGCACGGCTGATTGGTGTAAGTCTGGAGAGATCCAAGGCGTTCGATTCAGGGTTTATTGGTGCACAAAATTTGTGGTGCACGGCTGCGCTCCCAGTTGAAGTCAGTATCTGAGACTTGCGTTGACAGTATGCCTGAGGCCGCTGGGCAAGAATGTTCTAAGAAAGAGAAAACTGACGAATGCGGCCATAATCCCATTCATTCAATGCAAACTCAATCGAGAGGACCAGTATCAGATGACGATATAGGCCTATTCATGTAATCAGTGTTGACGTCTTCGTCTTAGAGTAAAGCATATTTGCTATCTTCTGAAGTTAATATTCAGTCTTGTATTGTGATTGTTGTGTGCTGTTCATATTTTGCTAATGATCATGTATTGTATTCTGTTCAAATTTTATTCCATTATTCAAGAATAATTGATATTTTAACACATAAATATATTTTTGTAATAAAGTTCACCATAGTCCATAGGCTACACTGTACAGTGTACACAGACCTTGATCTGGTGGGGGCCGGGGGGTATGTTACCGGGCTACTTGGGGTAATCTTAGGGCAGAACAAGCACATGAGTTTAGGCTCACAATTGTCTATTTTTCTATTTCATTTATTTATTGTTTTCATTTACTGCAAACATGGTTATTATTTGTCATACCTATTTCATGCATTTGTCTCGTTTCAGCCTTTCAGGCATTTAATGACCCCATAATCTTTATTTAATGCATGCAAATAAACTTGTCTCGAGTTAGCAGAATATTCTGAAACTCTCACTGCCATTACCAGTTGGCAGGTTGGAATTCTAAAATTCGTGGTTCACATAAAAAAAGCGTTCCGCCTTATAAAAAAAAAGTTCTAGGCAACTAGAACCAGG